GGGGAGCCTGAGGGGCGGCGGGTCCGTGCCGCTGGTGCTCGGTGATGGCCGAAGGGCTTCTCCGGCCTCCCAGGGCGCACGGGTGTCGACAGGCGCTCGAGCTGCTATGGCGTCTCTCTCACAGCTGCTCAGCCAGCAAAACGCTCACGTTTACTGACCTGAAATAATCTAATAAGTCTTTATTTGACCTTAATATTAGTGTAGGGCCGGCGCAGTGTTTGCATGATCGTTCGTTCAGCTCGGTGTTAATTACTGTGTCTGAAGTGCCCCGCTAATGAGATAACTGTGTGACGACTTCAAGAAGGGAATGGGAGGAAAACAGGTGTAAAATTAATCAAAGTAAGAGCGTGGATTACATCAAAGCGTGCTCTATCTACCAAAATGAACTGCCTTAGCATTTGTTTCTCATTAATTTATTACAAGCCTGTGACTGCTGTTAACAAGTTATGTAAGTGTCTTGTATCAGCACGCAATAAAATTGGTAAGCTACACCTTAGAAAAACATTAAGGACATTTCAACTCCTTTGTCTAATTTTATTAGTCCTGTTCTGCAGAGTTGCATTTACTGCTTCTTCCTGAAACAATCTGCGGATATACTTTTCAGTACCGTGAGATTAAATGTTCTATTATGAACCCTTGCTCTGTGAAAAGCTCTTAGGAAAGTTGCATGGTTTTGTGTGTTACGTGCATAATCTCCTGGCTAAGTATAGACTATGGAAACAGTATTTGTTTTCTAAAAGTACTTCAGCAAATGTGATGGCTTCTGACTATGCTTGCATTTTTGACTCTCTGCATAACTCCTGTCTATATAGTGACTTAACTGAGAGAAGTAAAGATGCCTGGCATTTTTCTTAAAAAAGTTCAAGATCTTGCAGAAACAAATTTAATGTAATTTTGTTTCAGGAAGTCTGCACCATAGGTTTTAAGTTGGCAAAAAGCCTTTTCCTAGTAAGCGCAGAAAATGTAGAAGTAAGAAGCTTAACAAAAAATTTAAAATTAAATGGACTCTGTGTGTTTTCAGCTACTGTAACAGAGTAGATGAACAGAGTTCTGACAGATGCGACTAATTTTCAATGTTTTTTTAAAATAGCATAGTTTATTCAGCAAGGACCTATTTCATTCTTCCCATAGCAGTTATTAAAAATAAAAAATATTAGGGCCGGTTTATTGTTTTTTAAGGCAAATCACTTTCTTTCTCTAGGTTTTTGAAGGATGTGATGAAGATAACAGGCTATTTAAGCCGAGAGGACTTTGAAGTTGCTGTAATAATGTTGTTTGGTTATAAACCCTCAAAGGTATGTATTTTTTCATTTATGTTCTGAAGATCCAGCTTATATAGATGTCTCACTTTTGAGAACTCTGTGTACTGACTGGTCCACACTAGTTGGAGTGGATTACTGTTTGGTAAACAGAAATACCCACAGATTCTTGAAGTAATTTTCTTATCTGGGGGTATTTATTTCAAAAGAAAATAACCAAACCCCTACCTTTCCTGCTGTAGACTGCGATGCGCAGAAAGATGCAGTGTATTTCATATGTGTACAAGATGTATGAAGTGACTTCCTGAGCTTGTTATTGATCAATTACTGTTTTTTATTAGTGGTACACTCCATTTCTTTACTCAGTGGTTTCAGTAGATGTGAAACTACTGCATGCCCTAATAATAAACATGTATTCTCAAAAATGTAGCTGGTTTTGGTTTCAAGTAAGAGTTGAGCATTTGTAGTCTTGACTTTTCTGATAAAAATCTATAGCTGTATGAAATCTTAACAAAAGAAAGGCTTATTGATAGAAATAATGTGTTGCATACTCACAGGAAGATACAGGATAAATTGTGTGGCTTAATGCAGTTCTGGAAGTTATATTTCTACTCTAGCACTGCAAGTGATTTCAGAAGAACACACATGCAAGATTTTGAAATAAATAGGTGTATGCCTGTGAGTTTGTCTTTCTCATGGTGTGTTGATACAAGCTTGAGCAATATACTATAAAGTATATTTAGCATGGAAGTTATGATTCATCTTTCTTCTCCAGTTTGAGCAATCTTCTTCCCCAAGTCACCACTTGTGACCAATTTTTTTTGTTTTTACTTAAATACGTGTTTTAGGAAAATAATCTTAACAAGGTCATGAAAAAAATTTTGTCTATGATCATTTAAAGTAAAAACCACATAAATGTTTATTAAACTGTGAAAGTAGTCATCTCTGATACATGTCAGCTGTGGGTAAACATTTTCGTGATGAGCGAGGGCCAGATCTAAAAAATACTTTAGACTTCTAACGTGAGTCTTAACTGCTGATTTATGAATCTGAAAATGCTCAGCTGACCCTTACCCATCTTCTCTATTCTGTTTTTACCTTCATGTAAAAATTAGCTGTTCTGTTAAATTCCCTGAATGTTTCTTCCAGTAGGAGTACTCAAAACATGCTTAAGGCATTCGAACAAGATCAGGTTCTGTGCATAAGTCACGGATGGCTCCTTCTTGGAAAGAGAATAGAAGTGGAGGACTCCTGGGAAGAAAGGAGGTGCAGGTTTAGTTATTTCTTCCTGAAAAGGTGCCGAGTCACACCTGCTGTGTCCCTAGGCAGTGCTGCGACCACCTGGCTGTAGACCATTTTGTCTGTGCAGCTGCACAAAAATTAATTAAAAACATTTGTTCCAGGAGTGATTCTGTTGTCTAGTGGTTTTGCTAGCTCCTTAAGTGGGCCCAATGCCAGCAACTGTTGCTCTTGAACCAGTGATTGCGCACTGTGAAATACTAAAAGATCCCTGGGCAGACAGATACTTTTCTTTGTGGTTTTTGCTAACATGCGTTAGCTGTGGTTTATGGCAGAGCCACACCTTTTGCTTTTGCTGATGGCTCGGCCTTGTAAGTGTTCCTTTCAACATTTTGGTAGTTTTTAATCTAGTTCTGAGAAAGAACTTTCTCTGTGCACCTTATAGGAACCAAATGCAGAAGCTACAATCTTGAAAGTTGATTGTTGGGATCCAGTTCTTGAGGATGTTATTGTGCATTTTATTTTGTTGTCAAAATTATTAAAATTGGAGACTATAGTAACAGCCCTTGAATTTCTTCCTAAGTCACTAAGAACAGCCCTGGCAAGGAGAGTGCTTTCAAGAGCTTTTCCAAGAAATAAGGAATGGTGTGCACATATTTCTTAAGGTGACACTGTTTCCTCAACTACACTATATACTAACATAAATTTTTCAGTGGAAATGGCAATTACTTAGCATCATCAACTGCAATCAAGCAATTGCATTTTTAGTAAATTGTTGCTGCGTCTTTTTTTTGGTCATGTTTTAATTTAGTCTATAAATTAAAAGTAATACTAACTTTACCCACTAGATGTCATTAGCGAGCTCTTTACTGAAGAAGGTGCGCCCTAAAAATTTGAATCACCTTCCTGTTTCACTTGCTTTTTCAAAATAACTTGTTATAACAATTCTATATTAGTTTTTATGAAATAATATTTTTCCGTGGTTATTCATAGACATTCTGGGCTTACTACTATTTAAAATTAAGCCTTGTGAAACAAGCAACTGGGAAAACATGAAAATAGAAAGAGATTAACCTGATTGCTGGACTGATATTGTATGACTATTTGATATATTTAAGAACATATAAAAATCATCGTTTGTGGGAATTATGTTTGTGGGACATACTTTTTTTTTTTCTCTGAAGTTTGATTCAGTGATCCTCTTTTCTCTAAAATTATTTGAACTGATCTAAAATGCTCTCATATTTCAACAACTGTTCAGCTGGTTAACTGCACATTCAGGTGTTAAGTGTTTACAATAAAAAAAGGGTACTGCAGGAATAGCAGTCATGAAAAGATGTTGTTTCCCCAGCTGAAGTTTCAGTCCTGATACTCTTAAGTTTAGATATAACTAAAAGCACTCTGTACGCTATAGGAGGCCAGGCCCCCCAAAATGTCCAGTGTTTTCCCTGACCCCACTCCGTACCTTCACATCAGGACACCGGTAGGTTGGCGTCTGCTGCTGAACAAGATGCCAACAGTGAGGCACCCTGACATGCAGAGCATAGAAGGGCAGTCTGAGCTCAGGGCTGCTTACAACTTAGAGCTGCTCTTCTGGCACATCTTATCAAAGCTTTCTGGAATGGACTACCTAGTCTAGTTGTATGCCTGACGCAGTATATGTGAAAAGTGTTGCAGGCCAAATGAATACATAGTTTTAGGTTAACTGGTTACAGCATGTCTGGCTTGTCCGTTCTCCAGAATGGAGTATGCTTAGGTTGCACTAGAAGCTGCTAACATATCATCTCCTCCCACGTGGATTTTCTCAGTGCTGCAACTATGTGCAGTCTTGTATTCTAATAACACAGATGTGAGAGTTTGGACTCATGAGCACTCTCTCAGTCACGCTAAAAAGCAATATAAATATAGCCCAAAGTGGACCTGTGTGCTTTCTTGGTTATACAGTCCCTTTCAGCTCTTTACATAGCTCAAAGATCTTTTCCAGTGATTTCTTGGACACCTCCTAAGTCAGTTCTGAAAAGTCAATTTTTTTTTTTTGTTTTCATCATGTCATGTAGCTTTTTGCTTTTGTACTCTTAATGAACCTTCGTAACGTGCTAACATTGGTGAGCATTAGTGAATCTTGGTGACATGCTAATCAACATGGAAGTGTCACTCCTGTGTGCCTACCAGATAAAATTGTGACGTAACATCGTATTGAAAGACAGTAAAGGAGATACACACCACATACAATGAGACAGTAGTGGATTGGTTTCAGGACAGTTGTAGAAGCTGGATGATGCAAACAGGGTTTTTTCATTTCATTATCTTTTTTTTTTATTCTCTACCTTTTTATTAATGTTTTTATTTTAGACAGATTTACCAAATCAGTTTTTATCAAACTAGGTTTCTGGAAATAGTTGGTCTCCAATCTGAATAATGAAACAGAAGGTTCTTCCCTTGTTTAAAGGAAATAACAAATTTGGGGGCTGATGCTCCAGAAGTTCATTTTGGATATTACAGTTCCTTCGTGTGTAGTTGAACTCCAATCTGTATAAAGTTAAGCATGTTTGTTTAAGCATACTTAATTTAAGATTTGGATATTGATTAGGATTCTATTAGGACTACATATATACTTAGTTTACTGGATGAAAAATAGGTGGTTTTATTTTAACTAGAATAAAATATTTTCTTACTTAAATGTCATAGATGATACTGTTATGTAATACATATTAATATGAGATCAGTATGTAGTGAAATCACATACTATTGATATAAAATGGAAATCATACAGGAGTTCAGATTTATCACTTCTGTAGAAAACCACTGTTGCATATCTTCTGTGTTCCAGGTGTAGGTAGATTCAGTAATGTCTTCTGTGAGACCACAGAATTCAGGTAATATGCAAACACCTATCTGTCAATTATTTGTACTTCTTTTTCATTCATAAATTTAAAAAATCTGAAGCTTAGACTCTTAAGTTTTGAAGAACTTGGTGTAGATTTAATTGCATACATTATAATTAATGAGGTTCAGCGAGGCTAAGTGCTGGGTCCTGCACTTGGGCCACAACAACCCCATGCAATGCTACAGGCTTGGGGAAGAGTGGTTAGAAAGCTGCCTGGCAGAAAGGGACCTGGGTGTGTTGGTTGACAGCTGGCTGAATATGAACCAGCAGTGTAGCGAGGTGGCCAAGAAGGGCAACAACATCCCAGCTGGTATCAAAAATAGTGTGGCCAGCAGGAGTAGAGTTGTGATCATGCCCCTGTACTTCACACCGTTGAGGCTGCACCTTGAATACTGTGTTTGGTTTTGGGCCCCTCACTACAAGAAAGACATTGAGACTGGAGCATGTTTAAAGAAGGGCAACGAAGCTGGTGAAAGGTCTAGAGCACAAGTCTTATGTGGAGCGTCTGGGGGAACTGGGGTTGTTTAGTCTGGAGAAAAGGAGGGTTCAGGGGAGACCTTATTGCTCTCTGTAACTGCCTGAAAGGAGGTTGTAGTGAGGTGGTTGTCAGTCTCTTCTCCCAAGTAACAAGTGATAGGACAAGAGGAAATGGCCTCAAATTGTGCCAGGGGAGGCTTAGATTGGATGTTAGGAAAAATTTCTTTACTGAGAGAATGGTTAAGCATTGGAACAGGCTGCCCAGGGAAGTGGTGGAGTCACCATCTGTGGAGGTATTTGAAAGAGGTGTAGATGTGGTGCTTAGGGACATAGTTTAGTGATGGACTTGTCAGTGTTAAGTAATGGTTGGACTCAGTGATCTTAAGGGTCTTTTCCAACCTAAATGATTCTATGATTTTATTTTATAATTCTATAAATGATTTGACCATGGCTCTTAAAGAGGATTATATGATTTCATTTAGTTTTGTAATATTTTTACAGCTTGTATGTTACATTTAGCTTGAACTTACTCTTGCTTCTCAAAGTGGCATTTCTTAATAACATCGTTATATAGATTAGTGATAGAGAAAAGTAATTAGTAATTTTTAGTGTTTGAGTTGGTAAGTGATGAAAAAGGTTCTATCAGTTTTTTGATACTGTTCCACTGTTTACTCAGGCAAATACTGGAGTCTTACACCACAGTTCATTAAATACATCTTTCTGTAACAACTTTCCCATTTATATAGTTTTGTTTGGTTTTTTTCTTGTCCTTGACCATATCAATTATGCCCATACATCTGTTTGTGTGGTCATGTGGCAAGTCTTATTGGAGAAATGATTCATAAAAAATGAAGTGGCAAAAAAAACGTTGTTGCTTTTATCAGGAGGTTCCCTCATCCCTTTTGCCACATGGCTCCACAAGTGTTTGTAGCAATACTTTTGAAAGGCATTGTGGAGGCTGATTCCATTTATTATAGCATTGATGCCAAAACCCATGTTCATTAAACCACGCCCTTACTTGTAAATCTTTACTTTAGGCAACAAATACAGCATAAAATTTTACTCTGAAAGGGAATAGCCACATATGAATGCTTGAACCAAAAATAGTGAACTAATATATAAAGATAGATTATGGATTTGTTAATACCTAATTGGCTTGAATATTTTTCAAGATGACCTTTTTGTGTGTTGAGATAGTTTTACAGCCTGTTCTAGTAGCACATAAATTGCCAACTCTCAAGATCAATGAATAGGCGGCACTCTATTATAGGAGTCATTCTATAAAAGGAAAATTATATACTATAATTTTCTGGGCTCATATGTTACTCTGAAAGAGAAGAAATAAATGGATGGAAAGCTTATGTTGCTTTTTATGGTTTCAGTTCCATAGTTATCCAATTGAATGGAAAGCTGTTCATGCAGGCAAGTTCAGTATGTTTAGGCAACCTCTGTTATTAAAGAAATTGTGCATGTACAGAACCTAGCAGTTGAAAGCAGCAAGTCTTTGTAATCCTGGAAACTGAGACTGTAACAGTTCTTAATATATGATTTTTCAAGAACAAATAAGGAAAGAAACACCGGAAATCTGTAAGCGTGGAGTTTAAGATTTGAATTGAGACAGCAGGTGGAGCTGAAGGAGTTGTGCTTTTGAACCACTGCAGAAAGAATAAGATATGAATGAATTGAAAGAGAGGTGCAGAGCTTTTGTTATGTTATTTGATACAGAAAAATTCCTGCAGGATGCAGTCATGTTGCCTTCTAAAGAAAATTAAATTGTTTTAAATGAGCATAAAACATATGTTAGAAAGTTATGAGAAAGGAATATTTGTCTGTTTCTAAATATTGAGCTGAAGTGGGATTTTTTTTTGCCAAAAAATATGTATCTACAGAATTTTTACATCAAGATTTTTGAATGTTTCATGAGGAGGCCTGAAGTTTTGAGGGGCAGGGTTTTGTTTCTTGATTTTTATGTTTTACTTTGATTTTAGAAGAAATGTTCAATTAAGTACTTACAAACTAGGTTTGCATTTCAATTTCTTTTTGTTTTCTGTTCATTAAAAGGATAAGATAAATGTACAAGTAAAGACTTTCATATAGTATACAGGAGGAATAACCAATCCAGTTTTACATTCAATTTTATTATGAATTTCATAGAAATCTATATCTGAGGTTATAGATTACTTCAGAATTCTCTCACTGATGGGAATGATGCCAGATAGATTGTTTATGCAGCATGGATCTTTATCCATGGAATACAAGTGCTATTGATTTAGAAGAGTCCATGTTTCTCTCCAGTGCAAAGAAACATGAGATGGCAGGTAATAAGAAGAAAAAAGTATAAGTAAACAGAAGCATTATACTCAAGTAGAGAAAATATGTGAGAAAGTTTAAACGATATTGAAATGTTTGCATGATCATGATCTAACTTTGAAGACTATTATTTCAGTTTTATTTTTGTGTTTATGTAATTAAAATTAGTCATACTTTTTAGACCATGGTCATACATATTTTTAAGGAGAAAAATAAAACTGACTTTTTTGCAGGGAGATTTATTTATATTTTACATTTTTCTAGGTCTCTTATTTGAAAAAATTTTAAATCTCATGAGTGCAAAGGCGGCTGCACAGCTATACAGTAATAAAACAAGGCAAATATTTACAGTACTTGATGTGCAAGGTAAGTTTTTTTTCTCCTAAATATTTGGAGTATTAATTTAATTCTAAAACAATTAAGCAAAACAGAACACCTGAAGGAAGTAAAAAGAGGATGTGATTTCCTGGATGCTGCAAAGTTAAGTAAAACTGTACCAAAGTAACAAAGATAGTGATGATATTACTATAAATGAAATAAGTGTCAGTAGGCTGCTAGTAGGTTCTAGATGGTAGCTCAGGTTTATCTGTTGTACTATGAGCTCCTCCACAGAAATCTCTAGCCATTCACCCTACCTCCTTGCTGTTACTGCCTCTTGTTATTTCTCTGTTACTCATATATCTCCACTCACTTATGCCACATATTTTATGGATTTCTGTCCCTGGTGGTGGCTATAGATCTTTTTTACTTCTCATGATAGACCAAGGAAGGGAAACCAAAGCAGCAAGGATTTTTTCTCATCCTTGTTGGGAAGTAGATGTGGTGATTCTTTTTTGTTCCTGCTAGACAGCAGCAGAGGATCTCCAGTCACCAAACTAAAAAAGGAAAACTTCATCAGGAGCCTCTGAGCTGATGGACATTTGGATGACCCTTTGCCTTTTTCTTCCTGACCTGAGATAGGACTATGGCCCTTAAAAAGAGGGAAAGTGAAACATATGGCAGATCAGGTGTTGGGATGATTAAATAAGCATCCACTCAGCTTTTTGCCATGAACTAAAAGTAGCTTTTGAAATGTTATTTTTAATGAGTTATTTCAAAGAACTGAACTGTTTCAAGCACTGTGCTTTTGTTTGTCTTGCTATCTGCTTCACACAATCTGCGATAGCCCCATTTGAGATGCTTTATTTTCCAGCTGGATTGGGAAGTGAATCCATAACCCAAGTGATTGATCAGTTGGTGTTAGTCTGATATAATGTATTCAGGATCTAAGTCTGCAGCAGGATTAAACTGAAGGAATTTTTTTTTTAATGAAAGAAAATTTTTGAAATGCAATGCTCAGGGTAACCAAGGTGTCAATGAAAATTATAGATTTGAAATGTAATTTTGCATATTTTAGAGTCTATATTTTCAATGATTTAAAAATCTGAAATTTTCAATTTAAAATGTCTACTTTTAAATTAAAATGTAAATAAGAGAGTTGTAGATGGGGGCAAAGTACTTTTGAACAGGCTTCACAAAAGTGAATTGTCAATATAAAATCTTTCTTAGACCATTTGTCTGTGTAATGTAGCCATCCTAAAATATTTTGCATGTACAGTAACTTAAAGACTGTATAATCATTTCAGAAATGTGAATTGATTAGCTCACATGTAAACAATTGTATTAAGTAGTTTTAAAAAACCCTTAAGTTATATTATTTTTCTCCTACCTAATCTTGATTCAAAATATAGAGGATTTTTTACTTTTGAAGACTTCAAGAAAGCCTTCAGTTTGGTTTCTCCTAAGTTATCTGAAAGAATCATAGTTGAAGCCTTCAGGTAAGATTAACAGAGAGATCCTTATTCCTGGATTTGAGGCTTTTTGTTGTATATATTTCAGTTAATTGAAATTATTACATTCTATCATGCAACTGAAGATACAAGCTTCAGCACATTACTGTTTCAGTGCCTTTAATAATAAATATTATAAATATAAATGCTATATGTAAATAATATAATAACTAACAGAAATAGTATAAATAGACATAAGAACTACAATTAAATAATAAATATTACAAGATACAGAAAGTAATTTGTTGCCTGAACTGTTTCTGAAGAAGCCTAAAATTATTTAGTTTTACATTTTTCTCCAGTAATTAGGAAATCTGCATTCAAGACCCGTCTCTAGAAAAATTCAGTTAAACTGTAGCGCATATTGCGAGGCAGAAGTGGTGAGATTTCTTGCGAGGTGATATTGGCTCAGAACCGAAAGGATAAAATTTTGAGAGTAATTTGCAGATCATGAAAAAATTAATGTTACCTTGGCAGTTACCAGTAAACATTACTTAAAAAAATGTTTTGGAGGACATTGCATTGCAAAGTGTAAAACTTTCGTTTTGTGATGTGAATGATTTGTTTGGAAGTAACTCAGCCATTGAAAGTCCTTCACTTTTGAAGACATGGCATCAGATAGCTTGCTGAGCACCACCTTTAAAAGGGGTGGTTGGATTTTGGCTTGTTTTTCTTTTTTGCAGTTATCTGGAGTTGTGGTACAAAGCATTATAGCAGTACAGAATTGGTTTGTATGTCTTTCAAACTACTGGCACACAATAACAAAATCGAACTGTGGAATGTCTAATTTCTTACATGATACTCTTGTGTTCTTGCAATAAAGATGTCATCTATTTTGGGGAGAGTAATTATTTTAAGAAGGTTTGAAAAGTTATGTGGTGTATTTTTCTTGATGACCAAATGATTTTTCTATCATTTTTTGGTATATTGTCAAGAAATGAATAGTAAATGTAGGCAGAATAGCTTGAGGTGTTATCCTTTCTAAATATTTTATTTTAAGGACTTCTATGAAGGGCCTAATGTCCAATTTTTCTGTCCAGTGATTAAAATGTTTTTCCTGAATATTAATGCTTTTTGTCAGAAACGCGTAAGTAGTGGCTGGTTATAATGTTTTAGTTTGCATTTTTACATATATGTTTTCATTATCTTTTTCATTTGAAAAATTGTCAAATAAATTCAGACTTAGCTTCATGTTGTAAACTAGTTCAGAAAACTTTTGGCCCATCTTTCTGTCAATGAAATTCCCCAATTTTGAATTTAAATTATAATCATGATAAATTTATAAATGAAGGAAAGTTCAACGAAATGTTAGGGTATACTCTGTATCTAGTAAAGATGACACGTCATGATCAACAGTAGCTCTAATGCTAGCATATTAGTCAGTAAATGTCACATTCCAGCAAATGAAACTTGCGATTGCATATTTATGAATGAGGTATGGAACCTGAAGAGAAACATAGAAAAATGTATTTTTGAAGAAGAAGTTTTCATGTTTCTTTGGCTACTCTTGAAAGAAATTGCACAACGGTATTGTCTAACACAGATTTTTTTTGGACTGGACAGAGCAAATCTGCATGGAACGCTTCAGAATTGTAATTTGAGATTAGAGGCCTTCTAAATCCTCTTTTAGTTACACATCATTTTTGGATATTTCTTTTACCTCTTGGTGTGTATGTTGAACTTTATGTAGGGAAACAGAGCTAAGACTTTTGTCCTAAATTGAGCTGTACAACTGGATTACAACTATATGAAAAGAAAGCCAGAGGAAATATTTTGGCTAGAAATATTTGTCGGAAGCTTCAATGTATTTGTGGCACAAAATCTGTATTACAGTGGATTGCTAAAACAAACAGAACGTATACAATGTCATATTTGTAGGTATGTTTCTTGTTCTTCCCTCTTTTTAGTACAGAGAGCAGAATTAAGTTTTGGGACTGAACATAGTTTTCAAGTATGTCTTTTGTGCTAAGTAAAACAATTTACAATACATATACATGTAGGTTGTTTGCCATCTTCAGGTGATGACGGATCAAGTGTGAGTTCTAAAACTATATCTATATTAGCAATTAATACAGCACATAGGGATCAGGTCTGTAGAGCAAGAAGTTTATGCTGAGGACCCAGTATCTGTACAACATTCACTGAGGGAGTTACTTCGACTTATTCAGTCTGTTGACCAGACTAGAATTAACAATGGAAGCTGGACTGCTTTCAGTGTATGCTGGGAGCACATCTTTCAGTTCAGTTTCATCAGGAAGGAATGCAGTTTGTATACTGTGATCACTCTGTGATGTTAACCATAGTACACTCAGTGGGGAAGATGGGAGATTCAAATCAAAAGAGCATTCCACATCTTAAGGAAAATGTAGCGACCTATTAGACAAGGAAAGAAAAAGCTTAACTGGTGTATTTCAGATCTTTGTGAAATCATTATATGAAAAGGGGGTTTTATGTTTATTTGTAAAATTTTCACTTTGGTGGAAATGTCCACCAGGTACTGGTGGGTTGCTTTAGTTTGGAAGGTTGCATGTATTATTTTCCTATACTTTAAAGTAAGATGTTACAAAATAAGCTAAGTCTGGGGTTAGTGTCACAAGGGCTAAAAAGATAGGGAAGTAGGAAAAAAAGTTAAAGGCACATACATAATACTTATCTTCTTTAATTACCATACAGAGCAGGGAATTATTTTGTGCTGTAGAGTGTAATTCTCAACATATTCTTAGACATAAAAATGAAAGCAAGGGTGATCAAGCTATGAAGAACACAAAGAAGGGAGGATATCAGTAATTGATTTGCATTAAGAATGAAGGACCCCGCTGAAGTAACTTAGCTTTCAGATCAAGTAGACTTGATTTATTGGTGTGCAAAATGCTCATAACGAGGCATCCATACATGTTGAATTGATTTTAACAAACTTGAGGCTTGAGAATGGAATTATTGTATTTATCATTCATATATTTTATTAATATTGAAACAGTCTTAAAATGCTTAATGTAATATAGTAAGAAGATAAAGAATAATGGATTATTTTTCTAACCTACCTGTACAAAAACTGTTATGCTCAAAATCTTATTCTGGCTACAAAGGAGACACACCTAATACATAAAGCCAAAATTTATTGTTACTATATGGAAAGTTTAGCAGTCTAGTCAAAGAATTATTATTAGTACAGATTTAATAATCACAAAAAAAGAAAGATAAAATAAAGAATGCTATGCTATGAAAAGTTTAAATGCAGTTAAATATGTTATTCACTTCGTAACAGCTACCCCTTTTTCTGTTGTTATTCTCAGTCTTCTTGCTGTCCCTCTTGGTCCTGAGGTTGACAGGTTCAAGGCAGGCATAGTAGGGTGAATTGCCATTATCTCGACTTCTTCACCAGAAGAAGTATGATATTCATATTGATGTTTTCTTCTCTCTTGCTCTAGCATCCGCTTTGGGTCATTTTTACATGTTTTTCCATGTTACATCCAAATTTACTGTATATAGCACATATTACATATTCTAGACATTTGTTCATTGCTCTCTTTGTCCAGATCCTGTGTCTGCTTTCTTTAACTGACCATTGGTGCATTGTTTATAGTCTTGGTCCTCCAGTGTTAGCTTGTGACCTGAATATTAACATCCCTTGCCTGTCCTCCTCTGTTCTATGTGCTGTGTCTTTACATCTGAAGGCCTCTGCTCTCATGCCATGTCTGTATTTCTCTACATCATTATCTTAAACTCATAAATATTTCATTTTAAATAGAAGAAATTCTTGTTACTGCTATCTATATAAAGCTATATTTATACGGTATAAAGGTAACAAGAACAAAGTAGGCATAACCACCTGGTCCTTAAAAGAACTGCTGTTACAGATAAAACTAGTAAAAGCTCTAGGCAGGTCAAGCAGATTCAGACCAAGTCTGACAAGCCTCAGTCCTTGCAAACTCAGTACAGAGTTTGTGGCCTGTCACTAGCAATGGCTGTACTGTATTTACTGGAATACAGGGTTATGAAACATACAGTTAATATCACAGAATCATTAAGGTTGGAGAAGACCTTCAAGATCATTAAGTCCAACACCACCAAACCCACTAAACCATATCCTGAAATGTCCATGTCCACATGTTTTTTGAGCACTTCTAGAGATGGTGACTCCACCACCTCCCTGAGCAGCCTGTTCTAGTGCTTGACCACTCTCTCAGTAAAGAAATTTCTCCTAATATCCAGTCTAAACCTTCCCTGGTGTAACTGAGGCCATTTCCTCTTGCCCTATGACTAGTTACTTGGGAGAAGAGACCAACACCCACCTCACCACAACCCCCTTTCAGGTAGTTGTAGAGAGCGACGGGGTCTCCCCTCAGCCTCCTCTTCTCCAGACTGAACCCCATTTCCCTCAGGCGCTCCTCTTAAGACTTGTTCTCCAGACCCCTCACCAGCTTCGTTGCCCTTCTCTGGACACGCTCCAGCACCTCAACATCCTTTTCGTAGTGAGGGGCCCAAAACTGAACACAGTATTTGAGGTGCAGCCTCACCAGTGCTGAGTACAGGGGTACAATCACTTCCCTACTCCTGCTGGCCATACTATTTCTGGCCAACATATATCCCTGCTTTACTTTAACATTGTATTTTCTTTTTATAAATGTATAAAGATGTAATGATTTAATTTGAATTAGTAGTAGAGCTTCAGGATGGGATGATGTTAAATGATCTGTTTTACGAAAGAAAAAAAGCACCTCTTTCAGCAATGTTTCTAAGTATAGTAAGTGGGTCGTTTGTGTTTTTTTTTCTTAATTCCATGGGAACAGAACCAAACATAAATATATTTTCATCTCATATTGATAAAATAATATTTAATGTAGACATTCTTTCCCTGAGGGATTATTTTCTTAGAAATGTCAGTAATATACGACACTTAGCTGTTGCTAAAGTTTGCAGAATGTGGGTGAGTTTTCAGTTTATATTTGATTGTATTAAGTGACCATAATCTTGCTTGAACAATAGAG